CTCACAGATAGCGTAACATATCGGATGGGTATAGGCAACTTTTTTCTACTCGTCGAGGCCCGTGTCTGTGAGTGTTTCGCACCCGCGCGGTCGGCTCATTTGTCACTTGCCCAATGTGCTTCGAGATGGTAACTCGACTAAGACGGAGGAAGCTACTGTGGTTGACCCTGAATGCCGGGTTGGCGGCGAACCCCAGCCAGCCATTGGGCATGTTACAAGCAATCCCCCTCGTCTTTGGCGGTGGGGGGGGGGGGGCCCGCCCCGCTCGGTGCGGGGGTGGGGGGGGGAGGGGGTGGAGTGGTGGCTGATCAAGGGCCGTGATCGTGATCAGAGTGGTGAATCAAGAAAAAGGTCGTAAAGTGCACACAGCCAGCAGAGGGGGTACACACACACAACGGCACACAACGGGGAGGGTTGGATGAGAGAGCGAATGAAGAAGAGAGGAGGAAGAGAGGAAGAGAGGGTGGAGGTGGGTGATGGTGGTGATGGCGGTGATGGCGGTGATGGCAGTGATGGTGATGGCGATATGGGGCGGGGGGGGGTGGGGTGGGGGGGAGGGGGGGGAGGAGGCAAGCGGCAAGCGGCAAGCGGCAAGCGGCAAGCGGCAAGTGGTCGGGGAGTCGGCGAGTGGGTGAGAGTGGGGCTCCAAAGGTCAATCAATGTCGCGACGATTAACAAATGATCATTGCCTCAACCACCCGACTATCATGCTTTCCCTTGCTCGCACGCTCTCCGTCAGCCGCACTGCGACGCTGACTTCTGTCGCCGCTGCATGGCGTGCTGCCCCTGCTGGTACGCACAGAGAGCGCTCTATCCAATGCCTCCTCTCCCTCTCCCCCCCTCTCCCTCCCCCCCCCCCCTCTCCCTTCCTTTGCCATGGCGGCGGTGGTGGTGTCTGGCTGTGGGTGAACGGATGCGACCAGGACGACAGCCGTCGCTCCGGTAACTAGGCCTGCTCCCCTGGACGCACACATGGACGTTACCTCCCCCCACCCAGCCTACGCCCTTGCAAGAACATGCAGCCTCCATCTCCGACTTGCTCCGCTCTGCTCCGCACTTGCTATCCTCCTGCAGAGCCTCGGGTGTGCCGGCCCTGGCCGAGGTTCATTTTTTCGATCGATCAACCTTTGGCGCCCGTGGCAGCCCCCCCCCCCTCCGCCTCCCCCTCGCACGCCACAGCCTCTGCACCGCCCAGGACGACGAGGATGACACGTCCGAGCTGAGCAAGAGTATTTCGGGCTAGGGATAGTCCTGCAGACAGGAGGATGTGGGCATGAGGGGACGTGCTGCGCCACAAGCAGATGCTATTGGTGGCGGGGGTCGAGCGGCGAGCGGAAGTGGTGGGCGTTCCGTCAGCCGACCGACGCGTCGTGGGGGAACCGAGAGTGTTGTATGGAAGGGAGGAGGCGGAGGACTCACGGTGGAGATGTGGTTTGGTGTGGTCTATGTGTGTAGATGGTGGCATCCCGTCCAGCATGGACGTGGCCACCGGGCGTGAGTACGATGAGCTCACCGAGGGTGAGCGGCACCAGGAGCTCGGTGCTGAGGTGCTCGCCTCGCAGGCTGCCACCCACTGGGGCACCAAGGAGAACCCGGTCAAGGTGCTCTCGGCGGTGGACCACCGGATTGTTGGCTGCACTGGCGAGAAGTGCTCGTCGATCCACGAGAACGGCGTGCTCTGGTGGCGTCTTGACGCTGGCGCCCCGCACGAGTGCCCCTGCGGCCAGGTCTTCCAGCTTGTCGACCGCCCGCACGGCCTCGACCAGCACTAAGCTTGGCCTCTCGGTCACTCTCTCCCGAGCTTGCTCACTTTGTCCTCAGCGGCTGTGCTGTCCGTAATGAACGTTCCCCTGCCAAGTCCGATGCGTGTACTTTCTCTCCCTCTCTCTCCCCTCACTTGCGCTTGCCCTTCTTGCCGGCGGCAGACTTGGACGAGACCGGGCCCTTCTTGCCCTTGCTCCCGCCACCTGCAAACGGCGATGGCCCACGCTTGCCTTTGCGGACCTTCTTGAGCGAGACGTACGTGGCCTTCATGCACTCGGGCTCGGGTTCGGTGACGACAATGTACTTTTCGCCCTTGGTCGACGCCACCTTGCCGTCGCGGTACCGGATCCTGGGACGGTTCTTGTCCTGGTCCGGGATGGCGGTGGCGATGCCCGAAAGCCGGGTCTTGTACGCTGCCCTGTCGGCCTTGGACAGCTCGTGCATCGACTTGCGGCCCACAAACTCCTCGTCGCGGACCATGTACTGCGCCGCGATCTTGGACTTGAGCGCCGAGTCGAGGGCCGGCGCCGGCGAGCTGCTGGCGGTCGCCGATCCCCGCGTCGCGTCCTTGTTGGCCCTACGCCCGCCGGCCTTGCTCCCCTTGGGCCGCACATGCCGCACATCGCAGCCTGCGGCCTCGAGCTCGCGCGCAAGCTGGACAGCGTCCGCAGCCGCAGCCACATCGCCGTCGTGCGCATGCACCATCTCGTCCAGCCACCGCCGGTCGGCGTCGGGGAAGACCTGTGCCAGCAGAGCAGTCCCTGGGTCCTCGGCAACTGCGCCCGCGTTCTCCTTGCCGCTCTCGCAGCTTGCGTCCGACGATGCCGACGGCGACGCCGGGCGCACCGCCGCCGCTTCGGCGGGAGGCGACGGCGACGCAGCAGCGCATTCGTCGTCGCTTCCCCAAAAGTCGCTGGCGTCGTCGGGAGCAGGCTCCGCCGCCGCCGCCACCAGCGTCTTCCAAGCCGCCGGCAGCGACGCTGCCGCCGCCTCGAGCTCGTCACCGATGTATCCCTCGAGCATGATGCGGAGGTCATCGACAGCCTCGTCCTCATCGAGCTCGTCGGGCTGCGAGCATCGCTCCATCACGAACCTGCTCTCCCCCCCCCCCATACACACACATCCGCGCACCCGCGCACGTGTAGTCCAGCTGTGAGTGTTGGGCATGTCTCCTCTCTTCCGTCTTGGGCCGTCCATCATCTACGGCGTCCGTCCGGCTCGAACATGCCTGACCAACTACAAATCTACGTACTCTACCAAATACTCGAGCATGTCGTCATCGATGTCCACCTCGGCACCGATCGTCTCAGACAGAGACAGTACCAGAGCTGTTGACCATAGCAACCAGAGGTAAGGGGGGGGGGGGGAGGGGGGAGGGGGGAGGAGGCAGCGAAGATGGCCATGCCCATGTCCATGTCCGCACAGGTTGTGAGTGCTACCCCGACCACAGACACAGGCACACACACACACACACACACACACACACACGCAGGGTATACAAAGGGCATGCACATACCACTCATCTCCTTCTCCACCTCGGCACGCATCACACACTCCCTCTTGTCGTCCACAAGAGACGTGTGGGGGGAGGTGGAGAGGGGGGGGGGAGGCCAAGCCGAGAACGGGCCAATTGCGCCGAATGCGCCAAATGCGCGCAAACGCAGAGAGGAGAAAGTCTGTCACCACAGACTGCCCTATCGCCGTATTCGAGTGATGGCAGACTGTGGCGACAGTGCTCAAGATGTGTATCTCCCCGCCAATGGCACCCGCCTACTCGGCGGCGGCTAGCCTGCCTCGATGCCGACGATTTGCCGTCGTTGTCATGGTCATCATTGTCATCACGGAACCGGAGCCGCCCCGTCTCCCCCCCGATCTCCATCGACCACGAGGGCAATGGTCCACAACTTGAACCCAACCGAGCCAATGTTCAATGTCCACCATTGAAACTTGCACTAAAGGCTACCCATCATCCCACAGCAACTGCCTCCAAGCCCGGTCGTGTGCGCGTTTTTCGCGACGACAGTGCCGTCAACCGACGTGTGATCATCAGCTCGATGAACAACCACTTCCTGAGGAGGACACAGGACATGCGACCCAGACCTTCGATTGTTTCCCGCCACCACGATGAGAGGAGGAGGGCCCATCTTAGAAGCGAACCCCCCCCCCCCCACCCCCCCCCCCTTTCACCAACAATCCTCGATAATCAGCCGTCATCCCGACGTGGTCGTTTGCGTCCACCCCCTCGTGCACCTCCTCGCCAGTCACTCCTTCTGGCCACCACTCGACTCACCTCGAACCATGTCTGGTGTCTGGCGTAGCATTGTGCGGGCTCTTGTGCGCGACCCGAACGCACACTCCCAGGTACGACCTCGGCCTGACAAAGCCACCACCACCTACCACTCCCTTGTGTGTGGGGGGGATGGGGGATGGTGTGTGTGTGTGGTGGGGTGGGGGGGGGTACGTGGTAGAGCTACGCCGAGGGAGTGGCTGTGTGACGGAA